TTTGATGTATATATTTATTGCATTTTAACAAAGCTTTTTAACCATATTTATTTAAAGAACTATTAAATTCTGCAATTATTTTTAAGCAACCCTCATCATGAATGCATTACAGCTGCTGATAAAAGTCTATGCAACCTACTATTATTTTGCCACCACATTTATGACCAAGAGTGAACCAGGAGGCTCATCAGATACTGTCAACAATAAATCACCATTCTCGTGCTTCTGCTTCACAAACATGACTGATGATGCTAAATAATCTGTTATATTTTCTCCCTTTATATGATTTTCCTAATAATAATTTATTTTCTGGACACAGATTATTTGTTTGAATCCCTGTTGTACATGTAAGGTGGTTTAAAGGCCAGTTTGGGGTTTATGTGTGTTGCAAAAATTCCACAACTTTATAGGAACGACAGAAAACAGCAAATTTATGATGATTTTACTATGATTTCATTAAAAATCGTGACAAAGTTATCATGTTTTTGAATCCTGAAAAACACAGTAAGTATTAATTTGTCTGTGTGCAGGTTGACTGCAGCCGCTAGGTGTCAGTGTTGCTGAGTCTCTCTATCGACCACTCTTGTACAGGAATGACCAGCTGAACAAAACCTGCTGTATGCATAACTCTGCACGTACACTGTCTGTTTTTGTTTATATACTTTGTGGAAAATCATAAAAAAAAATATGCTAGTTTCCAATAGTGAAGGATATTTTCTTTTCATTTTGTGCAAGTTTTCCAACCCCAACTCTCTTCACTTTATCCTGATCAATGTGGATTTATCATATGATTATCAGCATCTGTGTGTGTGTGTGTGTGTGTGTCAAGTTCAGTCTCCTCTCTGTCCCAGTTCAGAGTCCTGTGCTGGTCTGTCTGCAGCCTGACTGCTCAATTTATGCCTGAGGCCCTCTGTCCTCAAACAGTGACCGGCGCTGAACTGTTTCCAAAGTCAACTGTATTTAGCTGGTTTGAGGGACAGCTGAGTGATGAAGAGCAACACAGACCTTTGACAGGAAAACTATTCCCTCATGAGGTGTTCTTTAATCCAAGGACATTCTGTAAATCACATAAGTTTCATTCTGTTTTTGGATTTGTACCAAAATAAGCTGCAACATTTTGGTACTTTATTGCCTAATTTATACAACATTAAGAATGAATTATGTGTACATTTCAGTTTAATGATTGAAGAGACTTCAAAAATGTTGCCTTCAATATGACTCATTCCACACTGACAGAGGAGCTTGTTTTTAAAAAGCTGTAAAACTAATGTCACTACTAAACTACAACACATGACGAGACATTATAACCTTGCATATTTCACATGACGACCCAGCTGACACTGTCGCTTTACAGAGGTGAAAGGGGACAACTGACAGAGGTTATAATAAGGATGTCTGATCTTCCATCTATTCCTGACTCTCTGTTATTACTGTAAAATGTGCCTGATATTGTTAGCACAGCCTGGCTTATCTTTAGTCGCTCGCTCCCACTGATGTTTGGTCGCCTCTGACCACTGAGATGTGTTTGTGCTCCCATAATGCTGAGAAGTGAGGTACTTTGAAAGTGTCAGTCTTCACGGATCAGCTATGTAAATACACCTCGTTAGTCCAGTTAGATAATTTAATCAGATTAACTTCAGATGTTTGTTGTTGAGCTCTCACTTTCTGGTTTATTGATCTGAGTTCCAGAAAGTATTTTGTAATAGTATGGAGCAGATTTGTGACACACACACACACACACACACACACACACACATGCACGCACACACGCACGCACACACGCACACACGCAGAAAAGAAAAAGCAAATTGCATTCACTGTAATCAATAGGGTTTCAGTGAGTGGCATGGCAGCCTCCAGTCTCTTCATTCACAAGTCTGATCCTCTTCACAACACTGTGCAGGATTTAAAGGGACAGTTCACCCCAGAATAAAAAATACATACTTCTTGTCAATCAATTTTTTAGCACTTTGAGCACCACAAGCTGATGCCATCTAGTTCCTTTATATTGGAGAGAAGGCAGACATCTCTTCGGCTGATATCGCCAACACTCTGCAACTCACACCAGAACAATCTAGACTGATAAACAGCTCTACAGGGAAATGGAAAAACATGTATTTTTGATTTTAAAGTGAACTGTCCCTTTAAAAAAACCAACATAAATATGCCAGTTTGGATTATCCCTTTGGATCTGTAATCCACTGAAGTATTTTCCAGCAACTAAAATATTGTGGGTAATTTACATGGAAGACTCATCGTGGGATCTATGAAGAGAATGTACTGTTTCATGTTCTTGGTTGCTTGTGCTCAGGTGTGTCCTTAACTGGCTCCCATCTCTGGAGGAACAACAGATTACTGTAATCTTGATCTAAGGTTACATGACAAGGCAGTATGGATGTGTCATAACAGTGCTCAGCCAGATTAGTCCTCCTCTTTGGGACTCAGGTCTCAGCATGTTTAATCTCTCAGTCTGTGAAGATTGTTCTCATGTTCAAGTGTAAATTTCATCTTGAGACTTTCCTCCACACCCAAAGCTGAAAACTCAAAGCCAAAAAATATATAAATGAAGTGCTTATGTGTCTAGTTTTTACATTGCCGTTAATACATTATTGCCATGTTAAATTGTCATGCAAACAAGGTGTTATGAGACTTTCTGCACACACATTTACAACATTGTAGGACCACACATATCATTGCAGTGCGATAACAGGATTTAGTGACTTAAATAGCATGCTCAGTACCGCACTCGTTCTTATGTCACTTTCACAGCACTGTGACGACTTGTAATGAACACTCGGGTGACATAAGACCCCACTGTGACTCTGTCACATATTGCATATTTTAATGCTGATAATAAATGTTCTGTCGTCAATTAAATGAAATTAACAAAGTAAAATCTGGACTTTTCAGAGTCCCTCTCTTTGTGGTTATTTTGTGCCTTTTTGTCATTCTGTGTCTTCTCTAGGGTGTTTGGTGTGTTGTTTTTGCGGTCATTTGTGTCTTACAGTAATGAGGTAATTTTCTGTGTTAGTAAGGTAATTTTGTGTCTCTGAGATAATTTTGTGTCTCTTTGAGGTATTTGTGTAACTCTGAGATACGTTTGTGTCTCTGTAAGGTAATTTTGTTACTTTTTGAGGTCATTTTGTGTCTCTTTGAGGTAATGTTTTTGTTCTATTGAGGTAATTTTGTGTCTCTTTGAGGTATTTTGTGTCTCTTTAAGGTCATTTTGTGTCTCTTTGAAGTATTTTGTGTCTCTTTAAGGTCATTTTATGACTCTTTAAAGTAATTTTGTGTCTCTTTGAAGTAATGTTTTTGTTCTATTGAGGTAATTTTGTGTCTCATTAAGGTAATTTTATGACTCTTTAAAGTAATTTTGTGTCTCTTTGAGGTAGTGTTTTTGTTCTATTGAGGTAATTTTGTGTCTCTTTGAGGTATTTTGTGTCTCTTTGAGGTAATGTTTTTGTTCTATTGAGGTAATTTTGTGTCTCTTTAAGGTAATTTTGTGTCTCTTTAGGGTAATTTTCTGTGTTACTAAGGTAATTCTGTGACTCTTTAAGGTAATTTTGTGTCTCTAAGATAATTTTGTGTCTCTGTGGTATTTTTGTGTCTCTTTGAGGTAATTGTGTGACTCTTTAAGGTAATTTTGTGTCTCTTTAGGGTAATTTTCTGTGTTACTAAGGTCATTTTGTGACTCTTTAAGGTAATTTTGTGTCTCTTTAAGATAATTTTGTGTCTCTGAGGTAATTGTGTGACTCTAAGGTAATTTTGTGGCTCTTTAGGGTAATTTTCTGTGTTACTAAGGTCATTTTGTGACTCTTTAATGTTGTGCTTCACTGAGGCAATGTTGTGTCTTGTCAAGACAATTTTGTGTCTCTGAGGTATTTTGTGTCTCTTTGAGGTAATGTTTTTGTTCTATTGAGGTAATTTTGTGTCTCATTAAGGTAATTTTGTGTCTCTTTGAGGTAATTTTGTGTCTTTTTAAGGTAATTTTGTGTCTCTGATGTAAATTTGTGTCTCTTTAGGGTAATTTTCTGTGTTACTAAGGTAATTTTGTGACTCTTTCAGGTAATTTTGTGTCTTTTTAAGGTAATTTTGTGTCTCTTTATGGTCATTTTGTGTGTCTTCGAGGTCATTTTGTGTGTCTTTGAGGTAATGTTGTGTCTTATTGAGGTATTTTGTGTCTCTTTGAGATAAATTTGTGACATTTTTGGTCATTTTGTATCACTTTGTGGTTGTTGTTTTTTTGTTTATTTGTTTGTTTGTTTCCATACTCGTAGTTATTTTGTGTCTCTTTGCCTCCCTTTGTTGTCTTTTGGTGGTCATTTGAGTGCCTTCCTGGTCTGTAGTTTTTAATTTGAGTGGCATTTTGCAGATGAAGTCCAGTGGGGCCCTGTCATTTTTGGCCCCTGGGCCTGTGCCCGCTAGGCTTATTCAGTCATCCATCCGTGCTTATACTGTATGTAATAAAGTGTGGCATTGTATAGAGAATGAACTACCAACATATCAGCTTTAGTGAAGTGGAAAACTTAAACTCATTGTTCTGTGTTTTGTTTCCAGCTTGTGCACATGTTTCTTTTCCTGTTGCTGAATTGTGCACACACAGTTGAATATCTTCTATACCAAAACTATACTGGAGAATTTGGGGGAAAAATAAAGGTAAGAAGAAAGACAATATGATAGAGTAGTGCCCAGAGTAATATGAAAACATACACTCCCTCTCTGTCCTGTATTACACCAGCCTCAGGCTCACAGTGCACAGCAGTAGACAGGGTAGCCTGCTCCATAATTATTGACAGGTTTGATGTACTCAGCAAGTGGAAAGTATGGGGAAATTGGTGTTTCAGTTGTCTACCCCCAGGCTCATGACTGTAATGGAAAAGCAGTGATCACATCACCCACCCAGTTCTAAAATACTATCTGCTCCTCTCTGGCTCCCGCCTCCCTGTTTATTCCCATCACCTCCAGTTTTACTTTCGCCCAGCCATGTTAAACAGATTAAAGAGGATTCACTTGTGTAAAGACTCAAGCAAAAGCTCTGCTGTTTATTTTTGGATCTTCTAAGAATAACACAACTACAGCCACAGTGCTTAGAACTGCACAGGGATCTAAATGAAGTAAGTTACCTTTGCCTTGTGGGACAGTTGTGTAGTAGAGCAGCCAGTCAGTCAGACGCTTAGTAGGTCAGCTCAGCGTTGTCTGTGCCCTCTGCACCACTGGGCTGGGATCACACTTTCATCTACTGAGCTGAGACTTGTTGGACACAGAGGCTCCCTGCACAACTCCACCATGTCTCTCAGGCTGCTGCCTGCTTTCGTTGTGGATAACGACGACGATGATGATGGTAACTTCACAAAATGGATGAGTAGTTACTGGGGTCACGGAGCAGAAGGTGGACACTCCAGGGACAGGAAGCGCAGTTTCAGAAGAGCCACAAAAACACAAGGGGACCGAAGAGCATCACTCCCAACTGTGGTAAGGACCAGCAGCACTGAATAGACGCATGCATGTGTGTTCACTGTACATTTTGTTTTTGCATCAACATATAAACAGCAGCAAGACACTTTTAACAAAACAATATTTCCAGTTTCTGTCATTTTAAAACAACCTGCCTCTTTTTAAACTTGTTAATAAAACTAACTAAAGATAACTTTACAAAAAAAACTACTGTATGCAGTTAACCACAACTCAATATGTCATTGTAGAACGTTTCTAAAAGTTACATACAGTAGCCTATATTCAAGAAATAAGGCTGACCTTATTTATATTTGAGCAGACAATGAGGGTAGATTAATGCATGTATACACTCTGCAGACATGGAAACCCAGACATTGGTATGAGCACTATGCAGGCTATGTAGGTCTGTTATAGTTTTCAGTAATAGGGTGTCCTGACCTCCACTGCCTTCACTTCATCAATAACGTCTGCTGATGCACAAGTACATGATGCTCCCCCAGCACACACTTAAACACACAGACACACACAGGCACAGATATAAATACTGTTTAAACTGGACTTGCGTTTCACCAGTAATCCAAGAGGCATCAGAACTGAAGAAGCTTCTTGGAGAGGTGAAATCTCTTCAAGGAACTCAGTTAAGTCCAGTTGCCTACGATATATAGCACTTAAGATTACCATGACCTGGATGAGTGAGAATCTTCACCAATATATTGTTTAAATTGATTATACAGAGGTGCCACTCATAGAAACATCATTTTTTATTGAAAAAGTGTAACAGAAAACCTACAATGTACAGAGTTAGTAATGCTGTGAGTGTCTTCAGATTCCTTTATGTCACTGAGGTCAAACAGTGTGCAAATATTCTGCAAAAAGCAGACTTAACTAAACTGTTTTCATTTTATTTACCTTGTTTCCAACAACATAACAGCTGTAATATATCCAGACTGGAATACCAAATACAAACACTTGTATGTTGTCCATATTTATACCCCAACCCCACCAAGGAAGGGAAAAAAAGCTAAACTGAAATGACAGTACACATGTATACGTGGGCAGATACACATTTTAGACATACATTAGCAGACAGCAACATAAGTCAAAAAGTAAACAAAGGTACACACACGCATTCATACAAATAGATTTATACATCAGTCAAAGTTGTCTACAGCCAATCTACATTGTAATTTGCTCCAAGTAAGAATCAACTATGTCAGAAATGGTCGCCACATCCTGTAAAATTCACCTGCAGAGCCACCCAGCATACACTTTTATTTTACTTTATTTTCTCTAAGTGTAGAAAACTCTTGAGATCACCAGCCTACTAAGCATGTGTGGGAGACACCTCCTGCTTCCACTTAGTAAGTATAAGGCGTCTTGCAATTAAGGAGGCAAAGGCATTTGAATAGTGTCTAGGAAGAGGTTTGTTCTCTGGAACTACTATGATAGAAAGTTTTTAAATGAAAGCAGACCTGCAAGTCTGTTTCCTGACAATGAGAACATTAATGTAAGATATTATTCAGCATACATGTCAACCTGAAATAGACAAAGCTCTTGATTCTTTTATAAAAACATGTATTAATCATGGACTTCTGCATGTAAGTGCTCCTCTATGGAACACTGTGCTGCTTTATTCATCGCCATGAGGGAATGAACTTATCAGTCATAGAGAGATCAGAGATCAATGACACACGGCAGCACACTTGTGGCTCATACAGCAGGTTCTCAGTATGGTCAAGGGCAATTTAGCAACACTGATGTTTACTGAAATGTAGACATATACCCTGGGTGTTTAAGATTGAACAAAATAAATGTGTTTTGATAAAGTTTCCCCCCCCATTAGAGTGGCACTGAATATACACACTATTATGATGGGCCCTAGTGTCAGATTTAGCATCTTAACTAGCTTCTGTACATCGTATAGTCTAGTCACATGGTCAAATACACACTTGACATTAGACAATATCAACTTAAGTACCCAACAATCACTATTACAAGTCTGTATATGATAAAAATACCAAAAAAGGAGAAATTAGTCAATTAATTATATCATTTTTATTGTTCAATTACACTTTTTTTTATAGTTCATGTAGAATAAACACATAATTTGTTCCTATGATTCCTACTGACTATTTCACAACTACAATTACACAAAGGAAAAAAAAGGCATATTCATTTTAACATGAGTTCTTATTATTCCTGATCAGTCTAAATCAGTCACAAGGGCCTGTTCTCTGTCCAACACACTGTTACATCATCAGAGTTACACTTATATTTTGTTCACATTTGGAGGAATGAAAGAAAATCTTTGTCAGGTTTTGTGAGACAAAAGCAGCTGATGAGAGACATGATGACACATGCTGCAGCTTTTTGTCAGTGTGAACATTTGCTTCTGCCAACACAGATCAACCTGACCATTTGATCTAGTGGACAGACGAGCCAAATGACCCAACTATTAATCCATAAGTAGATAGATATGCACTGTGACGTCTTTTTGGACACTGTTAATGAACTTACGTTACACATACGCTTTAAACCACTAAGCTTTGTCTTTTCTACTCTGACTTTACACATATCTCAGCTTTAGACTTATTTATTTGTTCTTAATTTTTTTTTTGACAAGCACAAAATACAGTGAACATGTACTTAGACTGATTCCATTTTTAAAAATTTATAACATGTCCACCCACCCTGAGTAAACTCAAAGGGAAGAGCAGAAAGAAAAAATTTTAAAAAATACATGAATTAGGTCACATTTAGCTGTACCAAATGTCATTAGCTGTATAGATGATAAACTGTAATATTTAAAAATTAAATTTGGATATCATGTCAGCAATACACATGAGAAAATAATGTGTACAATCAAGCACTTCTTAAATCATTTCTCTTTCTTTCTGTTCTCATTTTCTCTCCCTCCACCAGCGTCATCTGGTTCTCTTCTCACTGTCCATTTACTGTAATTGCTCTTGTTGTACACTTCTGGTTACAGACTCTCTCTTCACCTCTGTACACTCATTTTTTGAGTGTAATTCATTTGCCAAAAAAAGACACAAAACGTAAAATAAATCACGTCAAAGATAAGATTTGACTGTCCATTCCTCTATTACCCTGTAAGGGGTCCTCAGATCAAAAGAATCAAAAGGGTGCCATAATTCACTCTCTGATGCGCTGTCTGTCAGAGCTAGAACAAATGAAAGATTCGTAATTAATATATTAACTAAGGCCTAATTTTTAAACAGGTGTATTCACACAACACTTTCATTGTATTTCCTCCCTGATCTTGGCTCAGCAACAGTTTTGCGTAAAAGGAATTAAAGCCCTGTCCATAATAGACCGGGCTACTAATTTAAGTTATATATTACATGCCTGCATTGATCTGCAAAGTAAATACATAGTAAATACAATATACATACTTAATATGTATACCCCAGATCATTTTTAACATTTGGAGTGGCATGTGAGAAAAACAGAACACTCAAACTGTTCCTCAGCCCTGTTGTACAATTTGACATCAACTAATCGTGATAAATATAGAAATAATCAAAGTAAGTTAAAGGCATAGTTTTAAGTTTGTAGACTTCTATGTAATAAACTAGGATTCGTAGGAAGTAGGATCTAACTTAAAGTTGCTGTTGAGTTGCTCTGTGGGAAATGTAGGATGTTTTGGCTACATCTCCTGCCAGTACCTTCCCTGGAGTGCCCTTTAATCAGTCCTGACTTTTATGACACAGGCATCACTGCGTTCAGGGAGGAATGTATCAGGTCATAAAGATGATCACTCTGAAATGAAGAGTGCTTTCATTTGCTTTAATTTGACTGCACCTCTATGTATCTGTTTTGCAACATATAAGTGTAATCTGATTACTGCTGTTGTGTAAATTATCACAGACCTATAATTAGGTGGTGCTTTGCAAGCATGTTACTTAAGAATATTAGGGGAGATTAACATATTAAACAGACAGAAGCTCAGCATGGTCGTGTCTCTGTCTGTCTGGTTTAATGTTCTTACAGTTGCTTTTCAGATTTTCAGCTCTTCTGTTTTCCTTTGAGCTGAGACTGAATCATCATGGACAAGTTGTGTAACAGCTGTTATTGTCCACAGTCACAGTTAGACGCCATGAAGCTGAACAGGCTGCACACAGCAACATTGGCTCCCAGCCCGAGCCACATCAAAACCAGGGAGGAGAAGGGGGAGGTGAGGCCCCACCAGAGAGCTCGCCGTGCCTCCTCAGATGAAAACAGCCGCTCCAAGTCGGGCATCCCAGAGAACCGCATCACCACCATCCCAGAGCTCACAGAGTCATTCGAGAAGAGACTCTTTCTCCGGGATAAGAGGACCATGTCTCTGGTGAGATGAAGTTTAAACAGTTTTTATAGTTGTTGTTTTTTACCAGCTCAGTGTGTTGTAGATTATTCAATTAACTGCAGGGTCGGTCAGGTCTTACACTAATAGGGTATTATGAAGCCCTTAAAGATTAAAGACCTCTTACAGAGAATTAAAAGGTGTATCAGTTTGGTACACTGACAGGATCATGGACGTGTCCCCAAACTCATATTGGTTACTGTAAAGTGCACAGTATCTCCTGCAGTGGTGGAAGAAGTACTCAGATAAATATATCAATACAACAGTTTAAAAATACTCTGTTACAAGAAATCTGCAATGTTAACTATTACTTCCAAATAAATGCAGTGGAGTAAAAGAGTACAATATCTTCTTCTGAGATGAAAGTAGAAATATAAAAATAGCATAACATGGGAATCAGGGGCGGCAGTGGCTCAGTCCATAGGGACTTATCTTGGGATCCAGAGGGTCACGACTTCAAGTCTCCATCCAGACCAACAATGGAGTGTGGACTGGTAGCTGGAGAGGTGCCAGTTCACCTCGTGGGCACTGCCGAGGTGCCCTTGAACAAGGCACTAAACCCCCAACTGCTCGGGGCACCTGTCCATGAGCAGCCTCCTCGCTCCGACGTCTATCCATTTAAAGCATGTATAGGTCCTGTTTGTGCATGCGTGTGTATCAGGCCTGTGTGCATATGACATCAGAGTGGAAAAACTGAATTTCCCCTAATGGATTAATAAAGTATATCCTCCTGAGACCCTGTGTCCTCATATGTGGACATTATATTTTGGGTTTACTTGACTTTATATACTTAATTCTACTTAACTAAGACCTGCTGTTGTCGTTCGTGGACACTTTTTTTTGTGCCATCTAGTTGTTATAAGAGCACAATACACTTATCAATGTAAAAACAAGATGGCAGCCATCTCTGCCAACTCAGTCTGCAGCTGATCCCGACACAAAAGTGGACAAGGTCCAAAACCTGATCACATTTTTCTTTATGATTAATAATGTTTGTAGTTTGATATGGCGACAAATCTGACCCACAGTAAGAAGCTAAGACACTATTTATTAAAAAGTACTCATGTGAAGACACTGGGACTTTATTATTGTCTGGTTTGAGGACATTGAGACCTAATTATCATTAACAATGGTTTTTAGCAAAAATTAGGAAAAATTAAAAATGCATACCAAACAAAAGTTCAGGTGTCAGGAGGAGATCTTCTTCTTCTTCTTCTTCTTCTTCTTCACTCACATGTATATTCTACCATTAATCTTTTATGACACTATCAGGATCAAGAATAATATATTTCTCATTTTGTGAAAGGGCTCGATCCCTTCTATAGTTTATATTTGGGAATCTATATGTTTTATATTTTGTAATTTTAACTTTGTAAAAAAGAAATCATAATGTTTTGTATATGATATGACAACCAAACCAGACCTACGCTTTGTACTGAAGATTTACTGGGGAAGCTTTCAAAATAATAGCTGGATTGCTGTGTTTTGTCATTGATGCCAACTTCAAGCTTCATATCCAATGGCAATTTGAAAATGTGTTTTTTGTTTGTCTGTTTTTAACAGTAGGTCTACACTGGAGTTGTAGTAGTAGGGCCCACAGTGCAACAGTTAATACTGTAAATACACCAGATGTATACTTAAAGGAACAGTGTGTAAGATTTAGGGGGATTTAGTGCCATCTAGTGGTGAGGACTGCACATTGCAACCAGCTGAAACTTAGTTAGAAATCCTTCAGTGTTCATTGGAGGTTAGTTATCCGCAGAGATCTCTTCTTCTCCAAAACAAACAGACCAGGTGATTAAAATCAGTTTTTCTTTTAAACAGATTGAGGACGACAAGTTGTGCCTGATCTGTCATGAGGACATGAAGAAGAACGGAGGAGTTCAAGAGCTGCACTGTACACACCGTTTCCACAAAGAGGTAAAACACCTTTTATAAGACTGACGCACTGCATGTCTCCTCAGGGACAAAGCATGAGACAGTGGGGCCCTGGGCGCAGATATGCAAAAGGCCCACCACCTCTCCTACACAGGAGCAGGACACACAGACTTTGTAGTTATTTTGTGTCCCTTTGCAGTCCCATTGCATCTCTTTGTGGCCTTTTTGTGTCTCTTTCTGGTTGTTATGAGTTTCACCCTGGTAGGTATATGTCGATTTGAGTGACATTTGCAGACAAAGATCAGGGCAGCCCCTGATTGAACCAATCGCCTCAAAAAATTTTACCATTGTACTTTTCTGCAAACCGTGGATATGTTACATTTGCACATTATTTGTAACTGATATCTCAACAGCGCTGTGGTGAAGATGTGGTTAGGTTTAGTCACAAAAAGCACTTGATTATAGTTAGGAAAAGATCATGTGTTGGCCTAAAACAGTCACATTTGGTGGCACAAAAGCAGTTGGAAAAGCCGGGATGGGTAAAAAAAACACCTCGTTTTTGTGGTTCAAGCACAGCTGGAAGACCTGGTGATGTGACGATGAGAAACACCCAGGTTTGGTACCACAAACACCTGTGGAACTACATCACTTCAGAAACAATGATATGCTACATATGAAACGTACAAATGTGAAGTTTCCGTGGTCTGCAATAACGTACAATGCTTACATTTTCTTGTGGCGACTGGGCTGCCCTGACGCTTTGGGCCCCTGACGCGCCTGTGCTTGTTAGGCCCATTCAGTAATGCATCCATGTGTCTCCTCTACATTGAATTTACTTCCTGTTGCAAAGCAGTGTTCAGTCCAATCCCAGCATGTGAGATATCAGATCCATGGTGCATGATTACAGCTCGTTCCTAGACATGCATGATGTGAAGTGGTATGAAAACAGTCTGCCTGCATCAAAACCCATCTGTGTGGAAGCATGGAGAACGCTAACATCTGAGGAGTTACTTATTACCATGTCTCCGTTTGGTGGGTGCTGAAGGCGGCTCGGAGGTCAGAGCAGTGCCGGCCCAGCAGCGGCAGTGAAACAGGAGTGGGTCAGGTGAGGAGACTCTCGGATGAGAGGAGGAAGTCGGCAGACGGGCCAATCTCCATGGAGAAGGAGCAGCACACACTCCGTCGTCAATTGTCCCTGCGGAGACATCGCTGATATCATTCTGTGGAAGGAGGAAGGTGACTCATCATCGGTGTTAAAATGGAAGATGAGCAAAACATCAGGATTGTCTGCTGAACTGTCACTGCTACATAGTTTGACGTTCGAGTGTTAAAATCTCAGGGCATTGACTGTGCCTGACCTGATCCCGTAAAAGTGTCCTGTGGGATCCCATCGCTCTGTCTGTCACTCTGTCTCCTCAGTGTCAGATCATAATTATAAAAACATTCGAAACATCTGATTCAGTCTCACTCCCAACTCGTCACATACCGACACTTGGTCAGTGGCCTGTCGCTCCAGATACCAACAAACAGTGTTGAGGGGTGAGGTGGATGGGTCAAACAAACCCTGTACATTCACCCAGGAGCCTGCTCTTTGGGTGTTGTGAAGCCAAAAGTCAATCGAACAAATGTAGTTATGACTTTTTTTCCCCTAAACCTAACCACACTCTTTCAATGCCAAAATTTCTGTACATCGACTGTAAAAATAATGGCTGTAGCTAACGTGACGTCACCTCTTGGTTTGTGGACTAATTTTGAAGCCTCAATTTTGGCATTTCAGCCTTCGGTATCTTGTTTTTTGGAGGCAGAAGTGACCATATTTGGATGATAGGCTGGAGTTGTAGGCTATCATAGACTGTATAAATATGGATGTAGCTATTGTGACATCACCCATTGGTTTTTGGACTCCCATTTTGAAGCCCTGAGTTTGGCACTTCGGCCGTTGCCATCTTGGTATTTGGAGTCAGAAGTGGGTGGAGCTGTGGAAGAATGAGGGGTGGGTTTGATTTACAGACTTTGGCACAGACAGCCTGTCGCTCAAACAGCCTCACCTTTAATTATCCATAACTTTGGCCCTTAATAAAATGTAAATGTGTGTTATTTAAGAATTCACCCCCATTCAGTTGTCCTGAATGATCAAATTAGCTATGGAGACCAAAACTGTTTTTTTTTGTACCAGGCTGTTAACATGTTTATTTATTCTATAGAGTTGGGCATTTTAACATGGTGTTTTGGAGCCAGGCTCAGGAGGCCATTCAAGAACTGCAGTTTTTGGCACTTCTGCGCTGGCGTTATTTTTTAGCCTCAGGGGTTGCTGCTTGTTTGTACGTTTATTTTAAAAAGAGACTTTTAATGAGTGTAAATTCACATGCTGTACCTGGACGTCCAAAAGTAAGGGGGGTACCTGTCATATTTTGACGTGACGAGCCACTGACCAAGTGTCGATGTTTGATGAGTTGGGAGGGGAGGATCCCCTGGACCCCCTGACTAAGTTCTGAATGTACCAGAATCCTAGAAATGCCCCTGTGTGCACTTGACCTGTTTGGGGCGCTGCTGCTGGATTTTGCAAAGATGAATGAGGACGGCAAATGTCAAAAGGTTGAAAAAAGGGGAATTCATTATTATATGTATTGATAGATATTATAAAGCGTTGTTTATTAATTGGCCCTCGCCTCCTGTCACTTTGCCAAAGTGGCCCCTAGGCAAAGCAAGTTGAGTATCCCTGTTCTACATCCTCAAGTGACTTCATCAAATGTCTAGTTTTGTCCAACCAATATTTTCAAACCCAAAATGTTAACTTTGGAATTTTTGCTTGAAAAATAACATAAACAATTTATTGATTACCAAAATAGAAGCCAATTAATTTTCCGTCAATTGAATGATTGATTCATTGACTAATAGTTGGAGCTCTACATGAGATGTATTAAATATTTGCTTCACAGTATTATAAGTAAGGTCATATAAGTGTACTTAATGTTCAGCTATGACTCAGCTTGTAAGTGGGTGACAGTCTATGCAATATCTTTCATGTTGAATTCATCAAATGATTATCACACAAGGAGATATTCTCAACTATACGTTAAAGAGTCTTTCAGCAAAACTACAATCTGATTTTTATAGTGTGGAAAGTAAAAACAAATCTCACCATAAATGTTCGTACAGTAGACTTAATTAATTTGTCTCAGCCGAAGTGATTTGGCTGCGTCTTTCTATTAACTTGTGACAACTTGGGTTATTCTGATTGCATGCAAAGTTGTTTTAATTAAGTCTAAATTGATGTGTTTTTGTGTTCAGCCATAACTTCAGTGTTTGTATTTTGTGTTGTTACAGACAGGAAAAATGTCAATAAATAACCAAGGAAATAAATTCTCAGCTGTTTTTTTTAACTGCACTCCTCTGATAATGTTGTGAATGTACAACAGAGTAAAACACGTGACATCAGTGTCCTCATCATGGGTCAGGGTCAGGGTCAGTGTCGTGCATGTGGTTCCTATAGCATGTTGGAAACTAGCTTCTGGCACCAGGGAGGGAAATCAATACCTGCAGGAATCATAAACATCCAGCCTGAGTGAAAAAAAAAAAGAATAACCTCTTTTTCAAATGTGTTTCAGTGCATGGAGCAGTGGCTGTGGAAAAAGCAGACGTGTCCCACATGCCGTGTCCATGTGTTCATGCCGAAGCCCCTCTACTGGTCTTCATCCCGCATCCAAGTCCCATAAAGATCCTGGATCTGCACCTGCATGTGACCCACTGACCCGCCCCCAGACCTCCACCATAACTCACTCCTCCTGCATGAACTCCCGCTGCTCCTTCAACGACATGTGAGGGTTTATTCAAAACAGCACTCAAGGAGCAGACTTAAGATCATCCTCTGTGTTTGGAGGGGCCCTGGACGCTATGTGACAGTTAAGGGTCCCTCAGTAAGAGACAGGACTTGTGATCTGGTGGCGTCTCACACAGCTTATTGATGTAAGACACTTATTTAATGTGTGAATTAGTGCCCGAATATGAGAGTTTTGTCTATATTTTGTCCAGAGACATTTTAAACTCTGCACTGAACTTGCAGTTTTATGAAGCAAATTCCCTTGAGATTTGTTATATCTTTTAAAATCTGACTTTTTTTTTCTTCCTTTTTGCACTTTTGCACATCTGATTTACCTTAAAGCAAAAATTTGCCATTTTTGGATTTATTCGCTTTCTTGCCAAGAGTTAGATGAAAAGATTGACACAAATATCTGTCTGTTAAATATGAAGCTACAACAGCCATTTCAAATGTTATCACTCAATTAAATGGGCATTATTAATTCTTATCAGTGCTGTAGGTCAGGAGGTTCCTGCAGTACTGACTAGTAGATTCAGAAGCCAGTTATCAGTGCATTAAATGCCTGTTGGCATCAGGAATAGTTACATTAGGTTCCACTTTCACTTAAGTTAGCTTTAGGCGCACATACTACGAGGTTAGCAGTAGAAAAACATTGGCTTTAAATGAGCATGTTACGTGAAATACGCCATGTTGTTAAAGGCCAACTGTGCAGGATTTAGCGGCATCTAGCAGTGATGTTGCAAAAGAGGAACTTCTCCGTTTGTCGTTTGCTCCCATTTGAGAGAAATATTGTCCAAAAATATGAATGGTGAACAGAGTCTCACTCCGACCTCGCCACATATCGACATTTGGTCATGGACTTTCCACATCCAAATGCGATGTGCAAGGTAGCCTGGATGCGTTGGTTGTTGACGTTCTTGGACACCGTGTCAAGTTCTCTTTTCAAAATACATTTCCGTTTTCACTGGAAATTTAACATTTACATACAGTCTCTTTCAAAATAAAAGCACTACATCAGTACAACACCGTGAATTGACATATTTTTTCCTTCAACAACACATGGGTTTGGCTTCACAATCTTAGAGGAAGTGACCAGACTCCCAGGTGAAAGTTGGTTGTTGTTGAACCCACCCCACACGGAATTTCGCTGCCTTAAATTTCTTGTTGTGCCACGTTTCCCCAAATGCTGCCGTTAAACTGTAAGGGCAACCAGCTGTGTATCATGCCGCCGTGAAAAGACGACTTTTTTTCATCAATGTCTTACGCCAGAATTCACTGCCCAAGCTCCGCATTTCGATAACTTGAGACGGAGTGGGTTGAAATGGCCCTATCTAGAGCCAGTATTTGATTTGTCTGCTCTAGATTACTGCAAAGAGATGGTGGACTCTGTGGAAGAGGACCTACATCATACGTAGATATAAACGGCTCATTCTAAAGTAACAAAAACACAACAACTCTAATTCGCGTTAATGAAACTGAAAGTAAAAGCCAAACCCAGATTCATTCTCGTTTGGCTTTTCACCTCGCTATGTTTGCAATTTTTTGTCACTGTGTCTTTTGGATGTGTGCTGCTCACAGTCTGGCACTGGGTCACTGCTTTTTTATAAAGCCCCGCCCTCACCTGAGCACTGCGTGGGTACACGTCTAAAAAGTACAGACAGAGGGCAGAGTCTCTGCAGATAGATACACCACCACACACTTCTAGAAAGGCCATAAGTGATGATTGTGAGGAATCAATTCTGTGTGATGTAGTTATTATTTTTAGGAAATTTTGCATAGTTCATTCATTATCCTGTTAGGGGTCGTGGTGGGGATGGAGTCTATCCCAGCTGACATTAGTTGAGAGGCAGGGTACACCCTGGACAGGTCACCAGACTATCACAGGGCCGACACATAGAGACAGACAACCATTCACACTCACATTCACACACACACATTATATCACCTGACTTCCTCAGTCACTGCATAACATTAACCTCGGCCATTTAATGGGCTGATAACGGCCTCTGAACCTTCTGTAGCAGGAACCTTCCAAACCATATCTATGATGCTGATAACCACAAATAATGTCCATTTAACTGAGTGATAACATTTGAACCAGGCAGCTACAACTATCTACTGGCCTGCTGTGTGCAGACATGATATCATGGTATCAATCTTCTCAATTTAATCAACTAATTTGATTGAAAGCCCATGGTTATTGATTCCCTTTACTATTGAAAAATAAATATTGAAAATAAATTCTTACAACTCAAACTCATTTTGTTTTCACCTCTCCTTTGTCTGACAAAAACAAAGTTAATGTTACACTAACTTCCACAGCGTCATCAGCATGTTGAGTATTTGCATATTCAAACTAATTTGGGCAATATTTTTTGTGTTTATGTATTGTAGACCACATTAATGATAGAACTAAATCTTGTATCTGACGAAGGCATGGACAGGAAATAATGCTCACAGCTTCATGACGATTAGCTGTGTCAGTCTGAAAGTGAGTAAGAGCATCTACTGGTTTCATGCTTGACTTAATAATCTTTACTCTGAGGTTATAAACGTGAACTCCTCCTCCTGAAACAACAAGTCCGTCTATCATATCTCATTTTCCATCTTCTCCATCTTCCTGCCTTATCTATTGTTTTGCATGTGAAATGTTTTGCATGTGAAGCCCAGTCGAGTGTCATCTGTTGAGCATTCGAGCTTCTCTGTTGTGTATCTTGCGCTGCCAAATGAGAGTTAACAGAGCAAGCTAGACGTCCAACAGGATCGGGCTGCCTGTGTATAAATGTATCTCTACAAACATGCATTTACGTAAATGTGACTTTATTTCTAGATACTGACAAATAGTCGTCTTTCCATGTATATGATGTTCATTTAAGTACCAATAAACCCTTTAAATCTGCTGTGATCTTGCATGGATTTATGTCAAACCAAAATGTCTGCAGATATAATGTGTTAGGATTAGTCTTTTTTAAATCTCTTTAAAAGAGAAATAACATCGTTACCAATATATATTTACAATCCTCTCTGTGAGTTACAAATTTGGTGTTTGGATTGTCTTTTATACGTTACACATACACAACATTTTGAACTAAAAATACAGACTAGCTGTGTAAAGCCAGCTCCACACAGCCAAAGCTTTTAAGGCTGACAATCAACACACACCAATCCAGGAGTACACACTGATGTCACACTCCTTTACTTAACACGGTGTGCTTTCAACAAACACACACTTTTCTGTCTTCTGTGTCATTTACCGCAGTTGTTTTACTGTACTTTCATTGTTGAGGTTATAACACTGCAGCCTGTAAAAGGCCAATAATAACAAGTATTCAAAGGTATTCAAATCCTATAATAACTGTGGCAATAACACCAGATATTTTGACTCAGCAGGCAAAGCACAGGTGTAACAGATAATGTTAATGATGGCTCCTTTGCATCTGTGTGTGCCAGTAAGTCAGCATGTACAATATCTCAGCCCTGTCACGGACACACCTGACTGGAATTCAGTCGTTAAATGTTATTTATCACACCTGCTGTGTTTGAAAATGCCAGTTGTTTCTATTGTAGTGTTTATTTTTAGTGGTCCAGATGGTACTAAATCTGATTCCCTCTTCCTGTTCTTGTTCTGAGTTCGTCCCATGTTTTGCATGTAAAACCATAATATGGTATTAATTAAAAACACACTTTTAATACGCTGGTTCTGGTTTTATTGTTTGACTCACCACATCTAAAGGTGTCCTGTGGAGTTTTCTCTTATGTTCAATAGAAGTGCACTACTGCGTGTTTTGACATGTTACCTATAGATCGGTAGATTAGCATGAAGCTGATAGCAGGAATGTACATTACATCACAACAGGGACGCTCTCGTAAGAAAAAAAACATCGCTCTAGAGCACTACTAGTGGTCAAAACACTACAGTTTGCCTTTAAATGTACTTTCAGGCTATCAGAAATGATTAATAACAAAATTGTACTTATGTACATGCAGTAAATACCGCCACTGATTATTCCACACAACTATGGAGGGCTTAAAATGACAAGTATGAATAAATATATAAATGAATAGGTAAATGCTGAAATAAATATTGAAGTTAATAAATAAATAAATGCTGAAATAAATATTAAAATGAATAGAAATAAATAAATGCAGAGGTTAGGACCCTTTGCTTTATTAACATACATAAATAAATGCAGTACAAAAATCTTGAAATAAATTTAGGATATTTATTTGCTTATGTCCTGTTTAATTGTCAGCTTTTATTTATTGATTTAATTTATTTTTAATTTATCCAAGCATGTATCAGTTTATTTCCATATTTGTTTCAGCATTGTTATTAATTAATTTATTTTTGTATTTATTTCAGCATTTATTTGTTTGTTTATATATATTTATTCTTTTATGTATTTATTTTGCATCTTTTTATTTTTCTTTAAACATTTATCATTAATCTATTTCTGTATTTATTTCTACATTTGTTTATTCTTCTACTTATTACTTTTCACATTTGTTTATTTATACATTTATTTGTTAATTAATTTATTTATTTTAAATGTATTTATGCATGCATCAGTTTATTTCCATATTTGTTTCATCATTTAGTTATTAATTTATTTTTGTATTCATTTCAGCATTAATTTTTTTCTTTTAATTATTTTTTTCAGGTCTATTTGTTTATTTATACATTTATTTATTCTTTTATACATTTATTTTTGCATTTATTTATTTATATATTTTTAAACATTTATTATTAATCTATTTCCGTATTTATTTATATGTTAATTTATACATTTATTTTTGTATTTATTTATTTTATATTTATTTCAGCATTTATTTATTATTTTATGTATTTTTTTTTTTTTTTGGATACGTCAGTCACGTTTGGTCCTCCATACCCTGAATCAGTGCAGCTCGGTTTGCAGTGAAGTCACGGTGCAAACCTCCGTCTGAAGACACGGAAGTCTGCCAGCCGCGGTGCGTGTACGTGCCGGAGGTCTTGTGTCCCGGCCCGGCCCGGTCTGCCTCCTCTGGCTGGAAAGTAGCGGTTTCCACCGAGCAGGGCGGGACCGGGACGAGCTCGAGCAGGCGGAGTGAAAGTGCACACGTGGACAGTAGACACCTGAGAGTGACGTGGACTGCAGCCAATGACTGCACGCCCTGATGACGCCAGCTCACCTCTGTAGTCCAATGGGAGAGTTTAATGGGGAGTAAAACGCTTTAAGTGTTTAGTGTCGGAAAAATTGGGAGAAAAAAAAAGGTTGTGAAACGTTTTGGAGGCAGCTGGGGATCAGACTGAGAGCAGACAGCTGATGTTTACTGTCCTGAGCTGCAGCAGAGGAGACTTCTCTCTTCTTTATTAAAATAAGATGAGAACATGAGGATGCTTTGATTTGTCTGGCTGAAGGAACTTTTCATCTCCAGAGACAAACATACTTGGGTAAGACCCCCCTTTTTCTTCCACTCTAAAGCAACTGTTGGCTCCTGTGTCCTGCTCAGAGGAAAGCAGTGCCTTTATACAACCTCCTGTAGGAGAACACTCACTGTACCTCCAGAGAAGCATGTTGCTTTTATAACCTTCTTCATAAAAAGTTGTTATATTTGACTCAGTAACTCATCTTTATGCTGATCTTTACACCCAATAATCTCAGATACTGACTCAGGTATCACATGCTAACACATCCAATGAGTTACTCTTTATGCTTCTGTCTGCTCTGTAGGCTGTAATCATCTTTCCATAAACTTTACATCCTGTGTCTGCTCTTCCTCAGTGACAAAAACACAGTGAGCACTTTGTGGTAATGTCCTCAAATGGTTATTTTTAGGCGACTTTAAATGCTCAGTCACTGTCAGCAACAATTTAAACTCCTTTATTTCAGCCAGTGATTCCTAAACTAGAATATAAAGCCAGCCTCCACGAAGGAAGGGTCTCCATGATGTCACCAGCAACTTAAATAACACCCATGACTTATCTCAGTCTGCACTCTGTATGCAGGCCTTGAAAAGTTAGATACCAATAAACAGAAATATTTCTTAAGAGCAATTTTTTGGGGGGGGGCCAACAAAGTTGCGGTCAAATTTACTGTTGCAACACGTATAAATGGAACCAGCATGGTCAAATGTGTTTAATGATCATATTAAAAGTAATTTAAATGTTTAGAACAGCACCCCTCATCAATACAGTCTGAGAATGACCAAGAATGACTAGTGAGAGGCAATGTACATCAAATATGAGGTCGTTTTTCTTAGAACAAAGACCGAAAATCACGATGAAGATAGTTTCAGTTTGAATTTATCTTGTCATTGTATATTTATGTGGTCGTTCAATAAGTGTCACTCATTGTGTCTCTGCCACAATGCTTCACAAGAATATAAATCTCTAAATAAATGCAGGTTTATAGGCAGAATATATCCTTCAATGAACAACCCTACCAAATCAAACAAAAATATTTTGCACCAAACGTGTTTATTGTGGCTTCACTCAAAACAAGTTGAGTAATTATGCCTCTGAATGTAGGACAACTTATATATGCACAGTAGGGCTGCAACTAAGGATTATTTTCATTGTCGACTAATCTGTCGATTATTTCTTCGATTAGTCGACTAATCACTTTATTGAGTCTGTAGTCTGTCTCTCCCAAACCCCAAAATTATATCATCTAATGTCTTGTTTCGTACTCACGCCAAAGGTTTTTAGCTCACTGTCATGGGAGAGTGTGTAAAGCTGCCAATATTTGAATGTAAGAAGCTGCAATATGAGTATTTTACTTTTCTATGAAAAATGACTCAAACCGATTAGTCGACTACTAAAAGAGTCACCGATTATTTTAATAGTCAATTAGTCATCGATTAGTAGACTAATCATTGCAGCCCTAATGCACAGTGCTATGTACATTGAAATTATAAGTTGTAAGTATATATATAAGATTAATCAGTCTTCATTTCTGTAGCTCTGATGTGACGGTGTCACTACTGTCAACGAGCCTCCTGCTCTGAGAAATGGCCCTTAGCTTACCGGAGAAAAAGTAGTTCTGAAGATGTACGGGGGACACGTAACCAAAAGGTTTTAAGCTACAAAAAAGTATGCATGTGTTTTGTTAGACTATTTCAATAATTTTAAAACATCCCCGCATTACGTCAGACCTTGATATCAATTGGGACTATTTTCTGGCCAGTATCACTCCGCCGTGCAGGCCCGCAAGACAGCACGCCAACAGAAATCAATCAGACAGTTCATCACCACGCCGTGCAGGTGCGCAGGATAGCAACGGCTAACGAAAACTTCATCGGCTGTTTCCAACAGAGAACCAGTAGGCTATTATTAGTGAGGAAAAGATGTACTAGCCCTATATATACCTACTACTACAGCGCAAACACCGGCTCACGACACACCCTCGTCAGCTGCTGTAGGTAAACAGAGGAATACCAAAATGGTGCGAACTTGTTATTGAAATAGTCTAACAAAACACATGCATACTTTTTTGTAGCTTAAAACCTTTTGGTTACGTGTCCCCCGTACATCTTCAGAACTACTTTTTCTCCGGTAAGCTACGGGCGATTTCTCAAAGCAGGAGGCTCGTTGACAGTAGTGACACCATCACATCAGAGCTACAGATGGTCAGCGTTTCACACAACATCATGTCCAAAAACCCGAACTATCCCTTTAAGGTACGTTGATTTTAAATATAGAAATATTACAGTTACCATTTACAAAAAAATTTAAAAAAAAAATTCGTATGAGAATGAAGTATTCTCTTTTGTAAACACACTTACGTAAATTGTGACTAAAATTGGTCCAAAATTCTTTGAGTTTGAATGATTGTTAGCGGCCGGGCGGTTTGTACGACTGCTGCATTTGCACAGATGATTGAACCGAGAGGTAATGAAGTGAACAAAACGCTGA